GTCCTATTTTCTCTGTGTTCGTATCAGTGCGCACCGTCATTCAGACAGCGAGCCCAACAACAGCCATGTCTACCTCCGCGGCGGAGGCAAACCTGCCGGACTGCTTTTGGCTTGACCAAAACTGGACGATAACTCTGCTCACAGGACGCTGCCAGGGGTAAGTCAGTGTGATTGCATGCCGCTGGTGATGGGGATGCCATACAGATTCATGTCAAAAATACCGAACTATCCCTTTAACTCCAACACTTAAGCACATTTAAACACGCATTTTTTTTGCAAAGAATCTCTAACGACTGGATTTAATTAGTTGCAGTTTTGATCAGCCAAAGGCTGCGATTATAAACAAAGCAGTGCACCTCCCTTCACTCCTGTTTAGTTCTAAAGCTACTGGAGGCTAACTTAGCTAATCAAAAAAAGGTTATGATGGAGCGAGACTGAAGCTAACTAACAATAAGAGCAGAAAAAAAAGCATCAGACCCTGTTGCTGCAGTTCATCACTCTGGAATAAAATTAGACAAAATGACAAGGAAGAAATGATAAAGAGCTGCTGCTGAACTCCTTTGCTTGAACCAGATAATCTGTAAATGTATTCGTATAAACTAATTTTTTATTTGTACCTCAGTAAAATGTTATGTATTTATCAAACTGACAAGAAAATGGAGAACATTGATTTATTAAGGAATGAATGTCTAATCGATTATTGAAATAACTGCTTTGGTAATCTAACAGTTACAATGAGTAACGGGGGGACAGACTAAAACATTAAAGTGGCTGAAAGAATGACCTTCAGACAGCAAATAAACACTTTTAAACAAAATATAATTTGTTTTGCAATTAATCAAAATGCAAGTATTTTTTTTCTAGATTCTTAATATTTAATTTGATGTGTTATAATACTAAAAGTATCCTTGTAGTCTAATTAAATAAATGGATTATTTGATTACTAAATAAAAGAGGTGCAGCTGTACAATAATCATAAGCAAATGTATTGGAATTAACTGAACAAACAAAATAGTGGTGCAACGGATCATTAATGGTCCGTGATCCTTTTGGATTTCTATCCACATTTTTTTTTTTTTACGCAACAGCGGATTGGTCAACCATTCTAAATAAATAAAGAGACG